TGCAGCGTTTGGCCACAGCAGGAATCAGAGAGAAGCAGCCTGGAGAGGCCACAATACAGCCTTCAGGTGGGGATACTCACATGTACTCCGTGACGGGAGCATTGCTGACTGTGTGTGCTGCTGCTGGAATGCTGGTCTCACTGCCATAACTACTCCCACAGCTATACAGGCTGGGCATGTGCACTCTGTAAAGATTATCGTGTGTTTGTCTACTCCCTTGAGCAGCTGATTCTTCTTCCCCATCATCATCTGAGCTTCTGCAAGAAGGAGAAAAAGTTCCTCCTAGACCTGTACAATTACCCTGCATGTGGGGTTTGCAGGAAACCATGGTAATCCGAGGAACCTCCCAACCATCTTCCACACCTCCACATTTATACCCATTTGGGATGCCTCAGGGTGGCAGTGTCAAACACAGCCTACACCACAGTGACTCAGACCTCCCACAGACACCATCTGGACTTTCACACTGCGTGATCCCCTACAGTCACCCTGCGGTCTTCTCTCAGGCTTAGCAGACAGCACAGGTCTGCAGCTGCCCAGTCACACCACCACAGGATGGACACTCATCCTGAAACACACTGCACTTACAAAAACACTGAGAGGCAGTGGGGATTGGTGCCATGCACCCCACAGAAAGCACCCTTAAAAACTGCAATCTGTGTCCTTCCATTTCTTGTAGCCATGTCCAAAGAGCTCTTAAGGATAAGCTTCTGCAGACTTCTCTAAACTCCCAGTCTGGGTACAAAGGCTTCATCTCATAGCAAAATCTCAGAAGTCTTTACAGAGACTAAGTTGCAACATGTGTATCTAAAGACTTCATTCTCTCAAAAATGCCAGGATTTTGAATAAATCTTGACATGCAGCAGAGCTGTTTGCCAGCTGGTTCCTTCCCCCCTTCCCATAGCATTCTCTTGTCCCTGCTATATAACATACACTGCTAATTAATCTCCCTAATTATGGGATGAAGCACCAAGGTTTGAAATATATTTTAGCAATGGCTGACAAAGCTAGTAAAAGGTCCTACAGGAAGCACTTTGTTGCTGGGTGAGCCAGCATGGACCTCACTAGAACATCCCAAACATCACCTGCAGCTTCGGTACCACAAGGTGGCACTGAAGATCTGTTGAGAGGATTGCAGCACTCAAGTATGACATCCTCCACCTCCCAGAGGGAGGCAGAGCAGGAAATGGTGCTCTGGGCAAGGCAAGAGGGAATCCTCCAGTTCACAGCACCAGCCTGAGCCTGCTGGGGGTGGCAGGGCAGGCACAGCCCACGTGGAAGGCAGCACAAGAGACACCACTGTGTAAACCTGTCTCCTTTGAATGGGCAGACTACCATCTTCTTCTTGATGATGTCTCTGCAGCTGCACGTGGAAGAGGCAGAGGAAGCCACCCGCTGTCTGGAGCGCTATTCTGACGCATTTCCCAAGGCTTTCTCTGTGGGCACTGCAGCCCTGGCAGGCTCTGGCTTCCTGCTATTGTTCAGGATGTTCCACTGTACTTTGAACCTTGAGCCTGGGCTTAGACCACAAAAATCATGTTTTGGGACCACAGATGAGAACTTGCTGCACAGTCTACTGCTCTTCTGCAAGGACAGAAAACTCAAAGCTACTTTAATAGCTGCATGAGGAGCAGCAGCCAGTCAGTGAAGTGAAGGTTTGCTCAAGACTCAGTGACCAGCCTGATTATCATCATTAATACTAGTTCCAAATAAGTCTGCCATTAGATGATTGCCACCAGTTTGCAAGTATCTCATCTGCCCATGCTATTGCCAACAAGACAGTCCCCAGTTTCTGCTAGCCCTGCAAGTCAGTCGCCTCAGCGTGAGCAATGCCAAAAAGGCACGTGTGAGCAGCTTCTCATTCCAGGTCTCTACCCCATCCTAGAAGAAATGCCTCAAAACAATGTAAGAGACCAGGGATTTTTCAGAGATGGCATGTAGTTCAAGCACTACCTCTCTCTCCAGCTATAATCATTTATCTCTGACTTGACTCAGGGTCCTGCAGTGTACTGAATACTCTGCACACAGTATTCCAATGCAATAAGGTTCAGATGTAAATATTAACTACAGCCAGAGCAAAAGCCAACATTTTTTTTCTGCTGGATCTGTGCTTATAAAGCCTCATCCCTCACACTCTTGGGATTGTATGGGAAAAAGCTCCATATGCTCATAGGCACAAATCCAATAGCCAGTCTTCATAGGAAAAAGCTCCACAGTGCTACAGGATCTAAACCCTGTCTATACCTCTTCTGCTGCCAAGTGTGTGGGACGCTGCACACAATGGAACTGAACATGAGGGCTGTGACAAAGGAGAAGAGAACCAGGTAGATGAGGCCTTCCACTCCATCATAGCAGAAACCCGTCAAAGCCTGGACGTAATCCTGGAGAGAGAAATGAGCAGAGTTTCCTGATCACAATAGAGTTAACACTGAGCTCTAATTCCAAAGCCCTTCCCCAGCACTATGTTCTCTGGAAAACTTAAAGAGATCGTAGTCACTTTTCCAGAGCATGTTTCTATTTTCATTTCAGGGACCTCAAGTATTTTTTATAACTGATCTAGCCCTTATTTCCCCCCACAAAGTCCAGCTTGGATTTAGACATGGAAATATTTTCAACCCCATACAATAGACTTTGAAGGGGAAAAAAATAAAAAGGGAAAAGTCAAGGCAAACTTATCCACTCAAATTATATACCACATTTTTCATCAAGCCTCTCTGCTCCTTCACTATGTCACCTTGCCCAAGAACACAAGCACGGACTGTCCACTTCTCTGCCTTCAGAGAGCTAGCTAGAGCAACAGTTAGGCCCTGCTATACTGCAGCTATAAGGCATTTTGCTCCATGGGAAAGGCAACAAGCTATGTGCTATAGGAAAGAAAACCCTGAAGGGCCCCGAAACCTTAGGCCTACAGCATGTAGATGTATAAAGACATCTTATCTAGTTTCCTATGTTGATCTTTAAACAGAAAGCTAACATGAGCCAAATTCCCATTCTCCTTTCTACTGGAGTCAATCAGTAAAAGCTGTTACAAACTGTTTTGGCACACCCTATGTGAAACTCCAAAATAATCATTACACTACAGGCTCCACACCCCCTTTGTTCTTTCTTAGCTGAAGCCCAGTTACTGAGGACTCACCAAATGCAGACTCCGACAGTCTACTAGAGCTGTCAGTTGCTGCAAGTTGATTTCTGTTGAATTTAAAACCTCCTGGATCCGGTTAAGATACTCCTGTAAGCAAGAAGCTAGTGATTAATGCAAGGAAATAGCTTAGCAGGAGCTGAACCCTAGCATTGTGCAAGGGTAAGGGAAGTCAGAAAGCACAGGGAGAGCAAATTTGAGGAGAGTTACCTTGGAAGTGGGGTGTTCTCTGCTTGCTGACCTCATGAGTTCCAAAACGTCATCCTGCATTTCTACCAGAGCCTTGTGACTTCCTGACAGCTTCTGCTCAACACAAAACATGCAACGTTTCAGCAATTCAGGCCACATGCACCAACAGAATTCCTGGGAAAACCCTTAAGTCCTACTTCTCAAATCTGTATGAATGACACAAGTTAAGGATGTCTCAGATGACACAGGGGCAGCTGCGACAGGGTTAAATTTGACTTTTACCACACTGGAAAAAGTACAGACAGAAAGAGAAGGGGAAAGGAAGAGTCAAAAGAAAAAAAAAAGAACAAAACAAAAAACCACAAACATACACACAAAACATACACACAGCTGGGGCTGGCCCCAGGACAGAGGGAAAGAAGAAAGAAAACACTCATGTTCTCACCAAAGAGCAGAGCTGGATATTTCTAAAAGTCAGATAGCTAAGAAAGACTTAATGTTAACACTAGAAGTTGTTTGTATTAGGGTGCAGCCTTCACATCCCATTAAAGCATCCATGGGATTCTCACATGTAACAGCCTGTCAGAGTACACTGAACAACCAGAAACGCAACAGATGGCAACAGTGCATCATACCACAGCTTGAAATGTTCTTACCCCACCCTTTAAAACAGAGGAAGACTTAAAAAATCCTAAATATAAATGGTGAAGCAGTTGGTGTCTGCCAAATGGTAGGTGGTGTGGGTTCATTCTGGCCTCTGATACATCAGACAAAGTTTGGGGTGGGCCCAGGTGCTGTTCTTCAGCCCCCACACAAAAGAATAATGACTCACATTTATACATCAGGATACAAACCCTTCAACATCCAAGGATTAAAGAGGCATACATAAGAATCACTCCATCACCCACAGAACTGGCTGCATTTTGGGAGTGGACTGTTGCCACTGTTTAACCCAAAAGAACCTGCAAGAAGAGGTTCAAAGCAGGTAGTATGTAGTTTCCCACCCTGGCATTCACTGTGGGTACGCTGTCTCCACGCTGCTGTTCCTACAAGAGGGTCATGTAAACAGAGGGACCCTAGAGCAAGCCATAGTCCTCACCACATCACACACAGGCTCTTTGAAGAGGGCATCCTGGACCTGAAGCTGTGCAGGTAATGATGAAGTTGGAGAAGACTGCTCAGTAAAGCACAGTGCCACCTCTTGCACAGCTGGAAAGTAGCTACAAAGCTGTACCAGCAGTGGAGTGCTCCCTAAAGCTAACACCTTACAACTTGCTGCATGCTGGCATCCAAAGTACTTCACCTGTACCCTGCAGGATGCTGAGATGGGGGGAAGGCTGCTGGGATGCTTAAACTCACCTGCTGGAAAGGGTTGGGGTATCCAACACTACAGGTGATGTAATAGCGGAGGGTATCTGCAAAGGCAAAGAGAGAGGAAAGTCAGGCCAGAGATACTGTTCCAGCTCTGCAGTATTTTGCAGCTGCCACAAGGGAGGTGTTAAGTTCTGAAAGCAATACACAAAATGAAAATGCAACATAAATGGAATCACTTTCCCTTCTCCATGTAGGATTCAGCACATGGATAACACAACAGAAAGGGGTGTAAGCTGTCTTTGGGGAGAAAAAGAAAGATTTGTGTTTTGTTTGTTTTGTTCTGTTGTTTTTTTTTAACTACTTAAATAGTTAGATGAAAGACTGAAGAAGTTTTCTTCTGAAGTCAGCGCTATCCACTGTATAAACATGAAGACAAGACCTTCAGTCTAGGATAAATCTAACTGGATGTTTAATTTCTGCAACTTCCAAGTGTCAGGATACCATTCCACAGCCACTGAAAGCAACCACGGGCTGCTGCCTAGGGCATACAGCAGGGAGACAACTCAGCTTTCAGCTATTTCAGTTCACCAGCTAGGTCACCACACAGCCACCAAACATTAGCACAGGAGAAGTGGTAATGGTGATATAAATACGGGCTGGTCTCAAAAATACCTGTGCAGGCATGCTCCTGGGCCAAGGGAGGTGCACACACATCCCTGTGCTGCTAAACGTGCTGAATATATCACTTCCTAAATATACACCTTGAAGCATTTAAAAGAAAAAAGGGGAAAAAAAAACATCTTCACAACTGGGGATTCTTCTATCACGTTCAAGGAGATACTGGTTTTAGGAAGTGTTCTGTAGAAGCATATAAAGTTCTCCTAATTCAAGAAAAATCATAGCTTCCAGTAATATAATTTCCTAAAAATGGAGCTTTGAAAGCAAGAGAGGAAATGGATGGAAGACAACAAGTTGATGTCTTTCTGACATGTATTAGGGATGAACAAGTAAATAGTCTGGTTTATGATGGATGTCACTTGCACACAATTAGATTTTAATTAGAAGGCTTTAATTAGACTTTACCTGAAAGTGTGCACATCAGTTGTTTTGCAATATGCTTTGACTTGTGCAAAACTTTTGGTATTAAGTCAATACTGCAGACTTGATCAGGAAAGAAAGTTCTTTTCCATTTTTTAGGATAACAGCAACATGCTATCTGTTCAAGGGACCTCAGATCATTTTCTCGTAACATCCCAAATAATCCCAACATACCAGTAATCCAGTAATCACAGTACAGTGAAGACATCCTCATAAACTTCCAGGTATGACTGTGACAGTGCTCTGCTAGCGGTATCATTTATTTCCAGGCTCAAAGACACAGTTTTATTCTTCCTCATTCAGACATTTATGAAACCAGCCTGGTGCCCTCATGAGCCCTCTGTAATACTACAACTGCTAGCATGCACAAGTTCCAAATATCAGGCTTTCCCCTGCCATTCTCAACAATGCTATCAAGGCAAGAAACTCTGAAAGACTTGATCATCCAAAATACTTTTAGATTATTTCTCAAACATTTACAGTTCCTCTTTAGAGGAATGGGAGGACGCCAGCTCAGCAAAATCAAGGGTGATGTTAGTTCAGTAAGGACTACAAAAGCTCCAAAACACACATACTCTGTACTTCCCTCCTCCCACTAGCACCCTTTGCTCCATTCTTTTTAATCTTCTTGCTGTGACTCTCAGTAACGTATTCCAGGCTGAAAAGCTGTTCTGATCAGTCCCAACTCAGAAATCAGCCAAAAAGCACAACCACAAGAGAGAGCAAAGCTGTGAAGGAAGCAGACCAGACTGTAGCCCGACTCTGCCGCGCTTCCCATAAATATTGAATGCACCTTTTGGCAATCCAAGGCACTGGAGACCAAGTGGTACAACAGACTGTCAGCTCCTGTATGTTGGCAGTGCAACCTGACAATCATTATTTATAATTCATTAGCCTACTTTGGGGCAGCTTCTGCCAGCTGCTCTATCTCCCCACCACTGACTCTTTCTCTGGGATGACTTACACCTCCCCAGCCAAGCCCCTAAACAGCAGCTGGCAAAGCCTGGGCACAGAGGAGGGCAGCAAGAACTGCCTTGTGGGCCTCGCTTTGGGCAGACCACACCAATGACTGTCCACAAGTACCGAGCCAAGGGAAGGGCTGTTCCTCTCATAAATCACACTCAGTGGTCACAGAAAAATGGATTAAAATGCACCTGCATTGAGTGAACAGCATAGCAGCAGCAATCCACAGCATCACTCACGGTGACCTCAAAGAGCTGAGATCTTGTCATCTATTTATTTTAAACCAATAAGCCACTGAAAGTTTCTCTTAGGCTCCCCACACTGGTATCAAGTTTACACCACCTTTATAAGTGCATTAAGTTGCATGACATACAGCTAATACATAGCTCTATAAATGTTTCTTGAGGGCCTTCTGGATCATCCCTCGTGGGCAGATGACAGATGGGAGCTCCCAATATCATCCTAGTTTGCAGCTTGTAAGCCCAGGATAAAGACTGCTGGTCACAAGTGGACCGAAGGGCCGTACAGTGCAGCAAGGGCTTCCCTTGCCTCCCACCCTGGGAGGCAGGCTCAGCAAGGCTCCACTGTGGTAGCACTGGCCTTGCAGCTGACAAGTGTGACACTTGACACAAAATGTGCTTTCCAACATGGCAAAGCCAGCAGGAGCAGCCTGCCCCTGCGCTGAACCCAGCGTGCCAACAGCTGTGGTGCTTTAAAGCTAGAGCTACAACAGGCAGCAGAGCTGCCTTAAAGAGATCCTGTGCTGCAAAGTCTGGAAATCAAGAGGAGCCTCCATATCACCAGGATGGGAAATTGGAAAGAGCAGGAGGCACCTTCACCAGTTTTAAACCTGGTGGAGGCTATCCTGTACAACATCAGCTCTCACAGTTCTGTCCACAGCAGCTGTACTAAGCCATCATTCCCACTCTGCCAACAGCTCCAGGCAATTTCTCTCTACAATTATCTTTCCTGTACACTCTCCTCTCAAGGAAAATTCCTGAAGGTAGAATCTGATTTTTTTTAAGCCAGCCTTTAAGTGATCTAGGTTATTGAAGAAGGGTTATGCAGGGTCACAGCTGCAGCTGCTTTTGCCTGCTGTTGCTATCAGCAACCCTCCTGACCCACACTTGGTGCACAGGCAGTGTGGGAGCAGAAGGCTAGGAAAGGGACTACCTGAAATGCTTTATTTTTGCTAAGTCTGTTTTGCCTGGAAAGGAAAGTAGAGCTGCCTACTAAACACAGCTTCAGCTGCTAGAACTACTTATTGCTTCTGCAACCATGGAGACTTACTATTCACTTCAAAGCCCAGCCAAAATGGGGAAAAAAAAAATTAATATGCACCTGGCAAAAGGCAGTTATAAAGTCTGCAGGGTAAAGAGCAATCAGTAAAAAAAGATCCTAGTTAAAAAAACCCAAACATCCCCTCACCTAAAACAGCTTTTCCCAGCCCTTCTTCATGTCTACTTGAGCATTCCCTAAGCAGCCTGCATTTTACACAAACGCCCAGACGAGATTGTCTCTGTGGGTTCAATCAGAGGAAGTTGAAGTATACCTGTCACCTGTGATGTCAAAGGAAGAAGACACTTTTGACCAGATTTTCTTACCCAGGTAACATGTTCTCCATCAGGACTTTTGTTTCCTTAAGGCAACAGTCTGACAGCTAAAGGAAGTACCTGCATATCATTTATATTTCTCTCATCTATGCCACACTTGTACTGGTGAAATTGGTCATTGTGAGCCTTCAGCAAAGAGCTCGTAGCCATCCCACATGTCCTCCACCCAAAGCTTTCTGCTCATCAGGAGTCCAACAAAACCACGCAGCAGAACACAGCTTCCCCACACTGAGATCAGCTCAGCAGGACTCTCCAGAGAGCTTCTTCAGGTAAACTCTCTTCTGCAGTGTCCACTGAGCCCAGGTAATAACAGTGCCACCACCACACGCCCCACACGTGAGGTTTTGTCCTGACGTTACTTTTAGAGAGGAAAGAGAGGTGCTGGTGGTGTCAGTCCTCCATTCAGCTCGGGGTTCCTAAGGTGACAGTGGATCAGGGAGAAGCTGGCTAGAAAGCCATGTGCAACAAGAATGTTCCCTGCCTATATCTGGGCAGCTACATCTCAGCATCCAGCCTGCCCAGCTTGGCTGGACTGGAGAGAACAGGCTCCATTATCCAGCCCCTGATGTTGACAGTTCTTTCAGATGGAGTGACTGGCTGCTCACTGTAGATTTCTCGTCAGAGAATCTGGAAAAAGCTCTTCCCCATGTTTAGACAGATCGTGCCTTCTTATTTAATTTTATGCAATAAGTCATCTGATAATAACATAATATCAATGAAAGGATGAGACCAGAGGATGGCCTCCTGCTTTGAAAATAAACATCTTGGCTGCACCAAATCTTTTTAAGAGCAGCAGGAGCCAAATATACAGCCACTGTTCGACTCCATTGGCTTTATCTCAGTTACTGAATACTGGGTGAGTTAGGCATGTATATCAACCTCTTCCACAAAATTATTTAAGTCTCTCCTTCTCCAGAAAACCTGCATTAAGGCTCTTTGACCCCCTTCTCCCCCTCCCTGCCCTTCTTGTAAACGCACTGCAGTTTAGCTACAAAATGAGGATATCTCCTCTCCAGCTAAAAACATGACAGCAATAATAATGCACTTCACCAGATTATTCTCAGCTCCATTAGTCCTACTTAGATTTGCAAACAGCAATTAGTACACAAACAGGAATATTAATATACTAGTTGCCCAGTATCCAACAGAGTTACTTGTCTGTGACAACTACTATCACCACCACAGAAGCCTTGCAAATGTGCAAATCCAGATGAGTCAGTCCTAGTCTGAATGCCAAAGACAGGGCTGGGAATAGGACACCACATTACATTTGAAAAAAACAACTAAAAATAGTGATTAAAGAGAAAAACCGACCCAGCACTGCAAAGCTTCTTAGAGATTACTCATTGGTTCTTATAGCCTTAAAAAAAAAGATTGCAGCATGAAGCCCAGTTGTTCTCTACCCCAGTGCTGGTCAAAAGCAGATACCAAGGTGAGACTGAGAATGTGAGGATCATCCCAGTCCAACTTCAGCTGAAGTGATCCCAAGGTAAATGAGATTCCTACATATATGGTAAGTCCCAATGGATTCTTCCATGGATTACCTGAACCCCTCCACCCACACACTTAGTCACCTCTTCTCTGAACAGAAAAACTAATGGTTGGACAGGGTTTTGAGCAACCTGGTCTAGTGGAAGGTGTCCATAGCAGCAGGGTTGGAACTAGATGATCTTTAAGGTCCCTTCCAACCCACCCCATTCTATGATGCTGTGGTTGGGTACACCCTGGTGAAATTAGCTGATGCAATCTTAAAGTGTTTCTGCCTCATCTGTCTCTACTGCTGTTAACGTTGGAGAGCACCATCCAGAGCATAGGCAGCAAGCCAGACTGTCCTGACTCCATGCACCAGAACCAGGAGCCCTCACACTGGGCATCCTCCTCCAGGAGGACAGAGCCAATGCTGGCTCCCAGCTGCCTGCCCTGTCTTCAAGTTCATTGCTCGCACATACCCGGCTTAGCCAATCACAAAGCAGATGCTACAGTTCACAGCCAAGCATATTATGGGACATCAACACTTATTTTAGATTTTAAAAGATGTTTTTAAGGTGCTATTACTGGGATTAAAGTGTCACTGAGCAGTGCCACACTGAAGTCCTCATGCTGTGGTTCTCCTTCCTGCTCGGGCACAGAGGACAGTCCCAACATCAGGAACCAAGAGCTATTTCTGTAACTTCCTCACCATAAACTATGACACAGCAGTGAAAATGCACATGGGAAGGCAGAACATTCAATCACCTCCCAACCAGCTGCCTAGCACATGGCAGGCTCACAAGTTAGACCCATTTCCTTCTGAAAAAAGGCAAAAGGTGCTCACGACCACTCAACGGCTGCCTAACAGCAGGGAGCTGACACACCAGCAGCCCACAGAAGGGACAACCCTTCCAGCTCAAGCCTGTGACAACACCTGCTCTTCCTCCTCTTCAGCGTTTTGCTTAGACCCATTCACTGTTATTTATGGAGCCTTAACAACTGTTGTAGCTGGCAGTGCTGCCAGAACAGAGACTGATTTCACCCGGGGGAGCTGACTGTCCCTGCCAGGGGAAGCAGGAGGAGGGACAGAATGTCACTCACCATTAGCCTCTAGATGAATTATAGTGACTAACAAAAAACTGCAGGGGCCAAGCAGACACGGACAACTGAAATGGAGGAGTAGCACAAAGGGGCATTTCTTCAGTTTCCCAGCACCAATCTAATTGTTACCAAACATGTCCAGAGCTGATATGAGTTACCAAATCATTACAGCACACAGCTGGCATTAGCATCAGGTATTTCCCCTTGGCCTCACTGACCCATTTGCCTCCTTAAACACCTAGGAGGCTAGCTTGCTACCTGAAGCTACATCTTCATCACCTTCACAGCCAGGAAAGGATTGTCAGCTCGTGTGGTGTTGTTGTTACACACTTGTTCTCTCTCTTACTGCATTTCTTTGTACAGAGAGCTGCCAGGCTCTGTCCTCTCCTTCCAGGAAATCAATAAAAAAGGCATTCCAAAAATAAGCTGTAGGGTGGCAATATCAACCTGTACATATTCTTTTATATTACATTCTGCCTCCAGACAAATATTTTTATTGCTTCCAATCCCTCCATCCTGAGCCATAGCTAGATGCTTAATTTCCCCCCCAGTTAGTTGCAGAGTAGAAGGCAGCACTGGGCTAAGCAGACAGCCATACATTACATCTTCTGTGCACAAGGCAAAGATTCTCTAGTTTCAGCAAGTAAGAACCAAGAAAAACAAGTGTCTCCTTTTGCAAATCAGTGTCACTGCTTATTTGTGTTCTCCTACATAGAACCACCTAGAGGAACCACTCAGGGGCAGAGGGTAGGAGAAAAGAAAAGTTAACTTTGTTATCAAAGCAGCAAACTCAGCCCTGAGAAACACCTTTAACACTTAATGTATCTCTGCTGGCAAGTGCCCAGCTACATTATTGTTAAGCCACAGTTCTGAAAGCCACTTCCCCCCCCACGAGGTCCAAATGGAAGGCACCCCTCATCTCAACAACCACATCAGTCTAAATTAGGAGCACCAAACCCAAAATCCATGAACCAGTGCTTCAGCTGGATGCCACTGTGATGCAGGCATATTGCTTTAAATGAAACAGGATAAACAAAGCAATCAAAACGCTGCATTTATAATGGAAATTCAAACTTCTCTTCATGGCTGTTTCCATTCATTTACACTTTAGTATTAAAAAAGATTCCTATTTACAGCCACTGTTAAGAGAAAAAATGGCATATATTTGTTGACAACAGACATAAAAATAAATATTCTAGATTCAGGAATACAGACCCAAGGGCAAGTCTTAAAAATGATGACTCAAACTGAACAAAGCTACTGCCACAGTTATGTCACTTGGACAGCAGAACAAGATTGAGGAGTGTTACATTCAAAGCAAAATAATTCCATCTTATCAGTTATTTCCACTTAAGGGCCAAGACAGAAGAAAGGTTCTGAAGGCTCTTCTGACAACAAAAAAGTGTACGTGTGCACTTCTGGCCACAGTATAAATGATTCTTTGGGAAGAACATATGCTTTTCCCACTGTATGCAAGCTCCTCTGTTCCAAACAGAGCCTTGAGTTCTCAGCCACTGCCACGTCCTACGTGACAGCTGGAGCTCCAGCACCCCATGCCAAAACCAGTCCCAGCACTTACCAGCACTAAGCACTGCATTCTCCTCAACCACTTTGGAGACATAAGCATCAGGGTTAATACAGAAGTCACTGGAGCCCTGGATAGATGCAAGACAAAAGGGAACATGAGTATCAAAGAACACCAGTATCAATGAGCAGCTGAGACAGGTTAACATGAGGGAACCCTCTCCTACAGAGGTGTTTCAGATGCTGAAGTCTCTCATGGTCACCCCTACTAGCACTGCTTTACACAACTGCAGGACCACACCACAGAAGGAGGAGCTCTGCACTCTTCATAGATGCAAACTGCTCAGACAGCTACTTAGGACAACAACCAGCATAAAACAGGCACAGTGGAAAATTAATCTTGTTTCTGATAAACCCACATTAAAGAGTGAATGGGACTTGGATCAGAGCCACTTACCACAGCAACAGCCAGCTCCAGACCCAAGGATCCCCAGCTGACAATCAGGGCAAACACCCCAAGCAAGCACACCCTGTGGGAGACAGACAGATGGCAGATGTAGAAGCTCTGATTCAAGCAGATCCTTCCAAAAGATGTGTTTTTTGGAGTCCAAAGCAATTGCCAAACCCAAGAAATTATCAACCACTGTATCTTAGGATAAACCACGCCAGTTTGTGTGTCATGGACAGCAGCAACCACAGGAGACTATGTCCAGCTGTTGGTCCCCACATTACTTGGCCCTGGGGCTGCAAGGGAAGGAAGGAGAGGGTGGAAGCAAGGTCTCCTTCTAGCAGGGAAGCCAACGGGACAAAGACCCAGTGGTGGCTGTAGGGAAGGCAGATCAGTATATGGATGACTACAGTCCCATCACTTTCACTATTCCCATTCTTGACTTTACTTTCTGGGTCCAAAGATACTCAAAGAAAAATATGCCATGTCAAAAAAAACCCCCAAACCTCACAAAAACATACTGAACTAAAATTGGATAAATCCCTCCAGCACACACCAGTGGAAAAGGCTTTTGCAGTTCCCTAAACAGCATGTTAGGTGTTCATCCCTATCTTCAGCACTCATACTGAGAGCATTTAGGCAAAAGTGGTCCTCAACTCCCTCAGGCATACAGACTAATAAGTAGTTTACGTATCCCTAGCTTCAAAGTAAAGGGATACTAGCTTGCTCTCCTGTAGATGCTTTTTCCTTCAGGCTTCCAAACACAAGTAGATTCCCTCCCAGCCACACCCTGAAGAAAACAAACCAAAAATCTGCTCAGAACCAAGACAGTCTTTATCCAAACCTAGTGTAAGCATCTCTGTGAGGAAGTGACCTACCTCTTCTGCTACGTTTGCCTCATTGAAAACTTAAAAAAAAAAAAAATCAAAAATCTATGGGCCTCATTAAAAAAAAAAAAAGATCTACCCTGTAGTTTACCAACTTATTCTGAGTAACCCTATTCTGTGAATGGATCTGTGGCTCATCTTGCAGGAGTAATGGAGTTTCAGAGTGACCTCTGTGCAGCACTCTGGAATAAGATGCTTAAAAACTTTATTATGCTTTTTCCAAACGGATTAAAAACTACCAGCCATGGATCAGCAACCTTCTGTGGTTTTATGACATATGGACAACGTGGCTTGGTGCCTCCAGCTGAGCTTGGTAATCAATAAGACACATTTGTTGGTTTACTTTAAATGAAGATGACTGGGTCAGTAACTGATTGCTTGGCTAAAAGATCTAAATCTGGCACTGCACTGCCTTGCTTGGCTGTGATACACTTGTTTCTTATGCCACGTGCTCCCTTTGGGGAATGCCTTAATATGAACTTCTGGCTAACAGGGAATGAGATTCTAATTTAAACCCTGGGTTTACCATCTGTGCATGCACTTGGACTTTTGTCTTTATTATCTGCCAGGTATGAAATCATCTGGCAAACCATAAATCTGAGTGCACATTCCAATTATTAATGGCATCACCATGCATCAGTATAAACTCTTGGCCATGTCAGTTGTCAAACTGACACTATGTTTATGATACCAGTATCTTTGCCAAATATGCCAAGCTAAACCAAGCTACAAAAGAGGGATAGGAATCTTTTTTTTCATGTAATGGGGCCTGAGCACAGCAGCACTTGCAGTGCTTTTTAGAAACAGGCATTAATATTGCAGTACCATGGCAACAAGACTCCTCCTCATAACTGCACAAACCATTGCTTGTTCTCAGTTGAACATTTCTTCAGGTGTGACAGCCAAAAGTAAACAAGAGCAGATCGTGACACAAGAGGCACTACCAGGTTGTGGAGACACATTCAATGCTTCCCATCGATTAACGACTGCAGAGCATTAAGGGGAGATTTTTAAAAGCCTGTAAATTTAAGAGAGGATGTTCACATCACTGTCTCCCAGCAAACAAAGGCTACAAGCACTACTCAGTGGAAGGCAGACTGCCCAGAGGAGTTCCTCATCTTTGATGAAGAAGCAATGGACACAAGTACCATTGCACTTTATAGCTCAAAAAGCTGCCTGCGAGCATCTCTCATAGCCCTAATCCTATCCACAGAGCTACATTATACAAAGCCTCTCTACATCAGGAGACAAATTCAAGATGTTCAGTCTCAGAAGTCCTTGATATCAACTGACAACAGTCCAGAGGTTTTAAACTAGCAGGCATTCAGCTGCCCTTCCTTATGCCCTGTGCCTGGGTCAGGACTTACCCCATAAGAATGGCCCTGGAGTTTCTGATGAGCCCGAAGAGCACCAGCAAGCAAATTAGGACGTGGAACAGAAGCAGGCCCAGGTATCCCAGCCACCTGCAGCAAACAAAACCAGTCTGGTGTATAAAAGGCACAGATCAAGAAGCTAGAGTGACTCATGGGAAAAATGTAGCCCTTCTTTTCTTCAAGGAAAAGCCACTACTAATGATTAATTTCCAGAGACCTCTGGGTATTTGCCAAGTCAGGAGTCAAGGCAGGTAAAAGCATTTACAGAACACACTCAATATACACAGAGAAATGAGACTGATAATCTTGTTTTAGTGTAAAGTTATATGCACCTGGACACCAGCAGGTGAACAGTCATTGCAGCTTCCTAGATGTTGGTTAGAAAATGCTTGTTATTTATTCTACATGTGTGGACAAAGGCTTTCTTTTGTGGAATACAGCTGATGCAATCTTTTATTAAAATGTTCAATAAAAAAGAACATTAGGCTGTCGTGTTAACTTACAGAATTAATGCAGTTTTCTAGTCTATTTACTGTGCCATACAACAGCAGCTATCTCTGTGGCTGTTTTTTTCCCCAGTGTTAGAACACAGGCTACAGGTTTTGTACATTGAGAATTCTCTTCAGCTGGTAGTAAATACACAGCTAAGAAAAAAATTGTTGTCATGCATTTTGATTTAAACTTGGGGCAATTTTGCTGTACATAAAAAAGAAAAAAAAAAAAAAATCAGCTTGGTAGGCCAAGAGCACCTGCAGTAATATAAGAAGGCTTTAGGTCAGCCACCCAGAACACACACATCACTGCTGCAAAACAGGCCGAAACAGATGCTACCACCACTGCACTACAGCATCCTACTCACCTGTACCAGTCGTAGAGGTCAATCTGAATTGCCAGCTCCTCCAGCGACAGCTCTTCATTCTTCCAAAAAGGGATCTCAGTTGTTTGCCTGACCAGATCATCCAAGAGACTTTGCAGTTTCTGGACAAGGTGCAGGTAGTCTGTCTGCTTTGTGAACATTTCCTCCAGGATGAGCAAGTTTGGTTCCACTGTTTGGTTCAGGGACACTGCAGTATCTAGTACCTATAGTACGGGAAATGAAAGAAAAGAGAAAAAAATAGAAAAATAATTAAAGGACAGAAAGTCAAGGAAGTAAAAAAAGATTCATGCTTACTAGCAAGTGAGGGATAGCTTCCAGATTACCAGTCCTCTGTCTTAAGAGGCTCAGAGTGCTTACTCTTCAAAAGCAACTTAAAAGCATCTGTAGAAGTAGATTGTTTGCAAGTAGTGTGATAATGACATCTCAGCTGAGCCTTTAACATCCGTGCATATTTTGCAGCCATCAGGGTTGCAGTATGATACTATGGCATTAAGAGCTAGCATAGGAACAACTGATTGTACTGAGATGATACATTTTTACTTAAGAGACTCGTCTGCTTTGGCCTGCCTCCTCTTCTGGGCGTGCAAAAGAGCTGATCAGAAGCTGTTTTTAAACCCAGCAAAGAGAAGACTTCATTTAATGAGCTGTGTTTGCTTTGGTATTTTTAGAAGAGCCGAAAAAAAATCACCACTCCGTTAACGGAAATTTTGGCACCTCTCTAAGCCCAGAGACTGACAAAAGAAGAGGAAGGGACAGAGGGGCAGGCAGACCCAGGAGGAGAGGTGCTGAGCGAGGCTGCCCGGTGCTCACCCGCTCCTGGACGCCCGCCACGGTGCGGTTGGCGTGGCGCAGCGAGTACGTCAGCCGGTGGATCCCGTCGCTGGTCTCCCCGTTCCCGTAGAAGCCAACTGCAATTCCAGCACTGCAGAGGAAGCCAGAGAGAGGGTGGGGGTGAAGCCACGCGGCAAGCTACGGAACACGGCTTCCCGCTGTGGCACCTCCACAGAGAGGGGAGCCACACGCCTCCCAGAGGGACACGGGGTGGTCGTGCTCCTCAGCCACCATTATAAACATCCACTCGTCAACATCTGTCCCTGCTTTCCATGCAGCCACCAATTCTCTGTATAGCATCTGCACAATGAGCAGTGGAACACCCTTCCCAAGGGGTATGTTTTGTTTATGACACTAAGGAAAATCCAATGGAGAACTGTTAGAGAAATCAGAGCTAGCCACAGGCAACCAGAGGCCCAGCCAAGCTCTCCAGTGGTCCTGCAAGGGCTGTCGTCGTTATGGCAGGAGACACATCCCTTCTCTGGGCAGGAAACAGATTGTTTTGTTGCATTTTTTAAAAGTGGAACACAGAGCTTGAATTGACCACTTGCCCATAGTGGAGGTTCCCCTAGATACCTTTTCCATGCCCTCTTCTCTACACCACGAAATATCTATGAACATCATCTATCTTGATTTATCTTCCCATTAGAAGCATTTGTGCCATACTGATTTAGAGTACTGGGAAAGAAGGCTTAATAACTTACTAGGACAAAAGGCTTATTTATTTTTAAAGCAAGCAAATTTCAAGCTTGCAGACACAATTCAACTCCAGCTGCTTAGCAAATTACCACCTATCAACTGATTTGCCATAACTGTCCACACTTATCAGTCTGGCCCAATTATAAAGTAAACCATATTAGCTTAAGCCTCACTTAAAGGAGGAAGATCCTGTAAATGAGTTGCAACCAGGAGATTATCTCATGTGAGTCAGTGACACCTCTTCTATTAAGACATTACTGCAGGAACTCACAGTTCTTCTTCCCAAACCCATTTTTCCTAATAACAGTGGAGGAAAAAAAACTTGTGAAGGGGTCATACAAGTGAACTCAGGGCAAACAAACATTATCAAGATATTAATTTCCTATTCATGGCATATTTAGCTTCAGAGCACCCAGGATCTTTTCTGGGAAGGTTCTCAAGGCCGTCTGTAGTAGAGGAAAGGAAAGTGGTGGTGGTTTTGGTGTAAATCTAAAGTTATTCTGGATTAAACAAAATGTTTCTTCACAATTTTGTGCTTGCATTATAGCACTACCCTCAGAGCTGGTTTGAAGGAGGAATAGGAGAGAAAGGAATTAAGGCACACAAAAGCTTTCAGAACAAGTAAGCGTAGTGCCTTTAACAGGAAGGGTCACTAAAGGACATGAAGCATTCTTCACCACCTTCACTGGCTGGAAAATCAAGCCAAGCAGGAAGGCCAGAGTGGGCTTTGTCTATATAACAGACCCTTGCACAGATTTGCTCTGGCACATACACCCATCTGCAGCCCAAATGACCGTTTCTGCTCTCACTCCTCTCCTGAGTGAAGACAGCATCCATCCATCTCTCCCTCCCTCCCTTCCTGAGCTCTTCCACTTCAGAAAGAGCAAGTAGAAAAAATATAGTTCATCTGGTTGCTTTCCTGCTTTGTCCTACTACATACACGAAATGGAAGCAAAGATCATGCACTGGAAGTGGAGCCACTATGAAAATCTTTCTCAGCCTCACATTCTGTCCAACAATTGAATTTCCATAAATTATGGAGAGCTTGGCCCATAAAAGCCTCAGCTGAGGAGTCTTTCCAGGGACAGTAGGCAGCCTACATCATACACAGAAAGAGAGGCAGTAGGCATGTAACTCAATATTTAGGTTAATACAAGAACTCAGTCTCTTTCTTCATGAAGATTTTTCTTCCAACGTTTTCCTAATGCAAATGAAGCTGATAATTAAAGACAGAAAAGCCCTCTGACTTCCTCCCTGGCTGCAGCTATTATCAGAGCTTGGTAACGCATGCCTAGGATGCAGGGGGGTGGAGGAGATAAAAAGACACATACCCCTCCTCCTCCTCCTGAACTAGAGACTGCAGATCCAGAGCTATGCCTGGGATAAAGCAACTCAGCATCCCATCACTGCAATCACAAACCCCTGGCTTGAATTGCCCTTTGTCTTATCAGAGCAAACAAATTCAGACAGACTCTTTCACTCCCCTGAGCAGCAGAAAACTTCAACAGTTTTTTCTACTATAGGCACTAAAGAAATTCCAGAACATTCCTGACGCTGAATTGCTCACCCATTAATTGGTGAGTAATTTCTATTCAGCCTGTTACAGCTACCAGAAGTCTATTCTTTCAGCAAAGGCTTGGTAGGTGCCCAAACCCTGCTGCTTGGCTCTCAGTATTCCCAGCACAGTAGCACTCTTGGTGGAGCAGACCCAGAAATGGCACTCTGCAGTAGCAGCAGTCATTTTGTCCTTAAAGATGCAGCATAACCAGGCACATCAGCCAGTTTATTCACAGGTACCACTAATGAAGTGCCAGCAACTGCATGGAACTCATCACCCTATCCACAGTAAAACCACCCCAGGAGCCTCCCCAGCCCTGTAGGAACCACAGCTCCAACTGCCCTTAACCCTCTAGGCACAGTCACTGCTCCTGATAGAAAACACCACAGCAACAGGGCTTGGGATAAAAGCCATTTAATTCAAGTAACAAATCCCTCTAGACATGCATATCACACAGTCACTGCAAACTCCACATAAAGCATTAATTATTCCATTAGTGCCCAGCAAAAGCCAGCTCTGCATCCACACCCACTGCCAGCAAGGGCCATTTAACGTGGCCATTCCTTCTCCTGGGAGCAAGCTGTACAGTTCTGTGGCAGTTCCCTTTTCTATCATGCTGGAGAGAGAAGGAAATCATCCCTGAAGCCCAGAAGCTCCATCTGGGGGCAGCTGCCTGGCCCCACGCTGGCCTTGAGAAGGGGCAGAGCTGAAGGGAGGGAAGAGGGAGAACTCTTGATGTTTAGTTTTCTGTTTGCATTTGGCTTAGTCTAAATCCAACAGTTGTTTCAAATCCCTGCCTACACACAGTGGTACAAAGTTGCTATTGTTTAAAGGAGATTTAAGGATTTGCACTAGTTTTTAACTACCTTTTATTTGATTAAAGGGAAACGGAGGGGCTCCCTCTATTTAAGCCCATTCTTTTAAAGTAAAAATAGATGAACTCATCTTAACCCTACCACATAAGTCCTTGAGGTCAGAACAAATTGCATGGCTCCTTGCACAAACCCCAGGAGGCTCTGTAGCCTGAGGTAGAGCAGATCCATTTCCCAGTATGGGATGACAACATCATCACCCAGCGGGGAAGCGTGCATCTCTGTCAGGCAGCGTGGACACAAGAGCAGCACTCCTGAACGACAGAGCTCTTCCACCCTAGCACCCTCTGGAAGACACTCCAACGCACTTTCAGACACTTCAGTAGGAAAGTTCTCTCCACTTCTGCTATTCTCGCTCCTGTCACGCTCCCCTCCCCAGCACCCACCCCTCTCTCCTGAATCCACACAGTCCCAATCCTCAATTCCTCCTCCCAAACCTACCTTTGTCAGTCTCCTGTCGCCTCCACTGCCCCCACCTCTCCCCTGCCTTCCTTCTCTGTTTTCGAATTAAAATCTTAAAAAAAAATCCATCTACCAAGCTTTTACAAGTCGTTTAGAAAGTTGCTCCTGCTGTTCAATACTATATTTCAAAAATCATTTGGCTACTCAGTCATTTTGGTAAGTTTTGGGAAAGCCACTCATGCTAAGTCAAGAAAACACTGCACTCCTGAGCCCAGCACAGAAACACACACACACAGTACGTTACACCAGTAGCGTGTTAGATGACATGAGACAGGAGAGCAGCAGGGCTTGATTTCCCTGTATTCCTACAGATACACCAGGATGATTAAAAGTCCTGCAGGCTGTGTACACACATTTCAGCATCACTTTTCAGCAAGACTCAGACTCAAGTCTGAAGAATAGCTTTCCTGTTTTTGCACGCAAATGTCACATGAGCTTAGGATGTCCCTTGATAAAAAGCCAGAAAAGAAAAATCAAGTGTAATTCCAAATTAACTTGCAATGCAAGCTTCAGAAGACAACCTCACCCCTACGTCTTCTGGATTACATGAGGTGCACATGCACATACACATGAACAGCTGAGCATTGATCTGATCCAGGAGACACGTCCATGCTCTCTGTTGGAGAGACCCTCCCATTGTAAAACCCACACGCACACAGTGAGAACCCCTCTGGCTACCCAGTCACCAGGCTGAAAAGATGAGCACTAGCCATTCACATCACATCCTTCAAAGTGAATAATCTAACTACACCAAGTCATCTTTAATTACAGGAACTTCACAAGGAGGACCCTTTTTAGACTTCATGTTCTCAGGAGGAATGTTAATTTGTCTGTCTAATTACCACCTTGCACTTTCGCACCGAGGGAAAGTGCTATTACTGGCACTTAAGGAAGCAAGTTTTCACCATCTATTTGTACCCATTTTTTTCAGCTATTTTCTCCACAAAGCTTCCTACACACCTTTGGAGCTGAGCTCCCTTCTGGGAGCATTAAGATCACCTAACTGTTGGATGATATGATTTATAAGACAACTCTCCACACACAGAAACAAATCAAAATTGATAAAGGCTGGAAATGAACTAAGCATTCAAGGAATAATCTAGGAAAATCATTCCTGCAGTTTTGTGGCTAGAGCAACTGGGAAGACTCATTATAGAGACATTTGGTTGGAGAGCTCCTATTAACCAGTTATGCCTTCCTGCTGGTTCAGCA